ATTACATTTATTGTGCACTTTACTTGTATTATTATTACATTGTACTATATAAGGAAGTAATTATACAACTCACCATAGTGCAGAATCAAATGCTGCCTCTGATCTGGCAGGAGGCAAAGCTCAGCTGGTGATGCCAGCGATGGGGAGTGGCTGTTAATACAGATGAAACTTCACTCTCTCTCCAGCTGCTCACCTCCTGCTGTGCGGCCCAGGTCCCAACAGGCCAGAGACTGGCTCTGGTCCTCGGCCCCAGGGATTGGGGACCACAGTCTTAAAACATTAGAAAATATGGAATGTGAGAGCTTCCAAACCTGGATTCCAAAAACCTGCACCCCAGTATACTTCAGGCAGTGCTTAGGCTTAGTTATTTTCTTGGAGATCCTGTTAAAATGTATCCCAGCTATGGATGTAACTTTGAAGGAAAAGCCATTAGATACATGTTTACAACTGGATTTCTTCCTGGAGCAGGAATTCAATTTCTCGGTAAGAACCTTAAGGGACCGGGTTCTGAAATCTCACTGCTTGGGTTCAAATCTCAGCTCCACCACTTTCTACCTCTGGTGTGTAGGAAAGTTACTTAACCTAAGCTCATTTTCTCCATTGGAAATTAGGGTTAATAATAGTGCCTGCTTTGTGGGGTTTGGGAAGGGTTAATGAAATAACTTGTGCAAAAAGCTTAGCTCAATGCCTGGCCCACAAGTGCTCAAGAAACAGCAGCTATTGTTATTAATAATATTATTATTACCAGGACCAATTAACATGTATTTGACTTACCACTATAACCACTATTGCTTTATCACCTTGTTTGATGCTTTCTGTATAATCCTAAAATAAAGAAGTTGGTTTTCAAATTTCCAGGATAACATACTGATTTTTTTAAAGTAAAATATGTTGAGTGAACACTTTTATTTTGTTTACAGTTTGGGGACAGGTGGGAAGGCTATACTTTGAACTCCCCTTTCACAGATTAAAGCCTCCGAGGTGGGTTTTTTAAAGAAATACTTGCTCTGCTCGGCAGCCAGAGTTCAAAGCTCTGGTGGGAAATGGCAAATGCTAGCCTTTAATTGTAAATGAACTCTCCAGCAACAAGGGATACAGAGTCAAGTAAACAAACAACTGATTCTGCTGTCAGTAGTTTCCTTTTAAAATCCGATGTCTCCCCCCTCCCATTTTACAGACCCGTTTGAGTTGAAGAAGCACCTCTTGGAGAGGGCTGGCTGAGGTCCTGAGAAAAGGGGTCTTCCACAAAGGACCCTCGCAGGGGAGGTCTCCCTCTTCGTCAGCAAGCTGTGCCTTATGAAGCTGTCTCTTTGGCATATATATCCTGCCCTTGGGCTTTTACCTAGAGCATTTCAGTTGTATTTTATTTCAGGAACACAAGATGTTATCTAAGGTGCTTTAACATGGCTCATAATATTGCCCTCCCTCCCTCTGCATAAACTGCAAATTCTTTCCATTGTTAACACTATTCACGGTGTGGCGGCAGCTCCTCAGGGCTGTGCTGGAATTACAGGCCACTTTGTTTGTAGAATAGCGCTGGAAGCTTGGCACCATTGATTTGCATCAGTGCCTCCGGAATAGCCTTTGCCTTCTCCTTAAAGATACTATCTAAACTGTGAAATTCATTAAATAGCCCCAGAAATGGATCAGGTTATTTAACACAACATCCCTAATGGCGCAATATCTCAGCTGTCTGCACTGATAGTGAGCATTGTCTTGGATAGTGTTATCAGCCCAGGACACCCGCTATGAATATTGATCCCAAGCTTGTTACAGGCATCACTTGCCATCAGGACAGGTCAGGGTTGGAACCCACCTAGCATCAAAGCAATTTAAAGACAGCACTCAGGCAGAATTTTAATGCCCACACTAGGGGGGAAAAAACCAACACAAATCGAGGCCATGTGCAGAGGGAAGATGGCTTACTGGATATGGATGTATGTGTTATATAGGAATGTCTTGCATGTAAATACACGTGTGAGGGTGTTAGTGAGTCGAACACATCGCCAAGTGGTACCCAAAAGGAAGCCTCATTGCCACCTGGTCTTTTACAAAGCAGGTGGCCAGGAAAAAAATTCCCCTAGGACCTTTCCCTCCACTCTCCCCCAAATCGAAGAATGTAGGCGGCTTCTCTTTAAGCCGGGCAAGGAAGCGAGCACATTTCTATTCTTCTAATGTGGACGAGAGACACAGCAGAGTTCCCTGTGTGTCACCTATTGCCCGAAGCCGAGAGTATACTAGCATGAGAGTTCACACAACCTTGCGCTGCACTGCACACACGTCTCAGAACTACTGGGAAGATAAAGGGCAAGACAAATTTTAAAATTGTTAAGAGAAGGAGTCCTTAAAGATTTGCAGGTTTAAAAAATATGGTCTCTGTATGTTCTTGGCTTTCTCCCCAATTTGTTGCTTCTTCAGCTTTTGGCTCCTTTCCCATATTTAACATCTGCGGACCACAAAGGAAAGACAATTCGCTCCATTGAAACAAAAACTTTTGAGGCGATCTATAAAGTGCAATGAAAATAATCCAGGTTTGGGCTGCTCTTGGCTGTCTGGGCCTTCCTTGTGCCTCTGGTTTGGGGTTTCGGGTGCCGTCTGGAATGCCAGCCGGCCATCCTGTGAATGGTCTCAAGGTTTCTTACAGGAGAAAGGGTACGAAGAGGGAGCATGGAGGCCATATATTTCTGTTCTAGAGCTACCTTAAGGAAATCTGTTCCTAGCTACCCTGAAGAAGCTGAGTACAAGCAAATATAAACACGGGTGGAAAAGTGGGCTAGGATGAATAGGGTGAGGGGGGAGAAAGGAAAAGGAAGGGGAAAAAAAAATCAAGTGAGAACTGGGTGAGAAAGCTGTCAAAACAGAGAGGGAAGTACCCTATCTGTATTTGAGGAAGGTTCTGTGGTTTGCAATCCAGGTTCCTGGGCACACCTTTTAGTTCCAGGGCCGTCTTGTCTTTGGTTTTCACGTGGTAAGTGTCCATCCCCTTTGGTGGAAGGTGGTCCAGTGGGCTTCCGCAGGGCACTTCCTTTCCTGAGCTTTAAAAGCACAATCCATCTTCACTTTAGGACGGGAGCTGGCTTGAATTTCAGCAGGGCTTTAAAGTCTGCAGGGAACATGGTAGGCACCTTTGGGAGGGGCAGAAAGGTTTGAATGAGAAAAGCAACAAGGAGCTGGCCTCTAAGGACACCTCTTCAATAACAGATGGGATTAGCCGCCCCCAGCACTTTAATGGGAAGGATTCTCCTCCCCTTCCTACTTCTTACCTGCTCAGACAATATTAATTGCCAAGTCATTGTTTGGAAACCCCATGGGGTGGTGAAGAAAGGAACAGCAGAGTTAGAGGTGGTTCTGGGATGGAAGTCTCAGGATTTGCCTGAAATAAACGCTTAGTGCCCACAGACTGCAACGTGCTCTCCAAGTGACAAAAGAAGAAATGTTAGAATGAGTGCGGTTGGTGGAAGCTTCCCCAAACCACTGATGGTGGCTATGACAGAAGACTTGGCGGGGCAAATGGGGGACATTTCAATTGTCTCTCATCTTGCACCTTAAATTCAAACCAGACAAGAATCTTTTTTTTTGAGACAGAGTCTCACTTTGTTGCCCAGGCTAGAGTGAGTCATCCCTATTTATTTGTTTGTTTGTTTGTTTATTTATTTATAGACAGTCTTGCTCTGTTGCCCAGGCTAGAGTGCCATGGTGTCAGCCTAGTTCACAGCATCCTCAAACTCCTGGACTCAAACGATCCTAATGCCTCAGCCTCCCGAGTAGCTGGGACCACAGGCATGCGCCACCATGCCCGGCTAATTTTTTTCTATATATTATTAGTTGGCCAATTAATTTCTTTCTATTCATAGTAGAGACGGGTCTCGCTCTTGCTCAGGCTGGTTTCAGAACTCCTCACCTCAAGCAATCCTCCCGCCTCGGCCTCCCAGAGTGCTAGGATTACAGGCGCCTCGGCCTCCCAGAGTGCTAGGATTACAGGCGTGAGCCACCGCGCCAGGCCCAGACAAGAATCTTTTAACCTTTTTCTTCTGGGGGGCTGGGGTCAGAGATGCAACCCGATTCCCAGAGACCCAATTTCTGTTGCAAATGATTGAATTTCTGACTGTGAAGAAGGCCTGGCTGAAGGGCGTCAGGGGTTGTGCTCAGTTCACGGCAGGGCGGGGCAGCAGCCTTCAGAGCAGAGGGGCACACTCGTCTCTCCAAAACTCTTGCTGGCCTCAGACTCAGCTCCGCCACGAGGTGGAAGGGAAAGACTCCGACAGTGTACAGGGTTTTCTTTCTCTATTTCCGAGACAGTAGGATGTACTGAAACAAAAAACCACTGGTCCAGCAGAAGACCTGGGTTCGAACCCAGACTCCGTCACCAACGAACGGTAACCCTGGACAAACCACTTCTCATCTTGAAACCTCAGTTTCCTCATCGTTAAACCAGGGGCAGTGGTCTGTGCCCCAGCGCACGCCTGCCTCGCGGGATGATCTGGGACTCAGAGGGGATGGCTCAAGCCCAGAGGCTTTGTATACCGTAAACTGTGAAAACAGGAGGGCTTTTCGGTCCCAGGGAACCGCGTCTGAGGCTATTCCTGTGATTCACGGGCGGCGCAGGAGATGTCCTGCGCGCTGCCCTGAAACATTCAGCCCCGGCCTGAGTTCATCCCCAAATCAAAGGCCGGGACACCAGGGAGAGGCGCAAACTCAGGTTAGGGAGGGGTGTGCGAGCGCGCAGGGAGGCTCCTCGGGGTGGACGCAGCCGGCCCCGCGGGCGCGCGCACCGGGAGCGCGGAGGCTCCCCCTAGCCGAGGCAAACGCCCCCAGCGCGGCGCCGGATAGTCCCGAGGCTGGCCTGGGCGGCGCAAGTGCCAACCGACGCGCAGCCCCCCGCGGCTCTCTCCCCGCCCCCTCCCCAGCCTCACTTGGCCGCGCGAACCCGGCTCCGGGCTGGAGAGCCGCGGCTGAGCCTCAGCCGAAGGCAAACCCGAGCGCGGCCGTGCGGGACCCCGCGCCGCCGGCCCCGGCCCGCGGGTGGCGGGCATGCTGGCATGGCAGGACGGCGGGGCCAAGGCGGCTCCGTCCCACCACAAGATCTCCTTCTCGGTCCTGGACATCCTGGACCCGCAGAAATTCACCCGCGCTGCGCTCCCGGCCGTGCGCCTCGCTCCCCGGGAAGCCAAGAAAAGTTTGGCGGAGGTCGAAGCGGGGAAGGACGCCAGCCCCGGGGACCCGGGCCGACAGCGGGAGACCCCTGGTAAGAATGCAAGGCGGCCCCTGGCCCCGGGCGGCCCCAGTCCGGATGATGCGGTGGAGCGTGTGGGGGGCACAGCCAGGCCCCGGTGAGTGGCCCTTAACGGCGTCTTCCCCAGAGAGAGAAGGCGCTCAGGACCGGTACTAGGTGTAGCCCCCGTCTCGGAATTGGATTGAGGCGGACAGCAGGCTCTGAGCATCCGGGGCTGGGATTTGTCACAAAAGCCCCATCCCTGCTCCCCCGCCAAGCGAGTAAGCGCCACACCTCTGCACGCAGGGGACACCCACACCCAGCGCCCGCCCTGCCGGGTTCACTCATTTATCGGGCATTTAATGCGCTTGCCCCGTGCCGGGACCTGAGAGCTAGGGGCTGGGAGAAAGGTGATGAGAAACTTCGGAACCTGCCAGATAGACAACATCCTTAACATCGCCCCCAGTTTATGGATGAGAGAGCTGAAGGCTTGTGTCCCGGGTCTGAGTAGCGAGGTCAGGTGCCTGCTTCCAGCCCCGCGGGGACACCTGCAGAGACTCGGCCGCCCCGCGCGCTCACTCCGCCCGGACCCAACTGTTCACTGGGGCTGGGGGCGAGGCGCGGGTGGGGTGATGGGAAGCTTTTGGTGCTTTCTCCTCGAAACCCTTTTGACTTGCTCCTAACCCTCGCGGATACCTGGTTAAGGGTCCAGGAAATTTTGTGGCTGGAAGGATGAAAGACCGCAGGACTCCCGCCGAGTGGGGCGTGGGCACGAGGCTCCCTGGAGGGTCAGGAGTTCAGGTCCCCGGGGAGGCTGGACGCCACGCAACCCCTGCTCCCTCCTCGGAGTTTGGCGGTGATTGCCTGGGGCCCCGGGGCGCCTCTGGCGGCCGCGCTCGGGCCCCGGCCGGCGGCCTAGTAATTGTTCGGATCTCCCTCCGAGGGGCCCAGCTCCCCTCCCCCAACCCTCGTGATCGATATTCTATTACTGGCGCCTGCATATCTCCTGCCCACAGCTTGCAGGTACCGACTTCAAACCCCCTTTCCCTGTCTGATCCTAATATTGTTCGATTAAAACTTACCTTTAATAGATGACATCTATCGATCCGGCCCCGCACAAATCTGAAACTCTATTAACACGGCGGGAGAGAGAAGATGGGAAAGGGGGAATTTCACTTTAAAGGGAGGGGGGCGGAGAGCTTAATAACTTCTTTTTTAATTGCTAGGAGTGCCAGACTAAAATAGACTTGTAGGGGCTGGGGAGACACAACCCTAAACGCACTTGACGTCGATGTCTTAATGTACTATGATCCTACCCCCATATGGCTGCCCAGTAGGGCCACCATTCTTTCCTAATGCGGGGTGTCATTCATTCACTCAACACATACAGCTTGGACGCCTACTCGGTGGCAGATTTGTACAGAGCAAGAGGACATCGCACCCCTAAAGACTGTGCGGTGTTGGGAGAGGAGGCGCGCGATGAGGGGAGAGGAGCGGAGCCGGGGTTTGGCTGGGGGGAAAGCTGCGTGCTCCGGGAGGACGAAGAGAAGGTTTGGGGACCGGACAGGCCGCGTGGTTTCAGGCTTCTGGTCACCGTCCCCTTCTCCCCTAGATGCTGCGGGCCGAGGCGCCGGTCCGGCGTCCCCCCTGGAGGGCTCCGAGGCCGAGGAGGAGGAGGAGGACGTGGAGGACGCGGGACGGCCGCAGCGACGGGAGCGGGCTGCGTGCTTGCTGGGCGGCCCGGCGGCGCGCTCTCCCGAGGCCCGGGCTGGGGCGTTGACGGCTGGGGAGCGCGGCGCGGACGGCGGGGGCGGCCCCATGGGGTCCCCCGGCTCGCCGGGCTCCCCGCGGCCACGGCGCCGGCGCCCGGAGCCCAACTGCGCCAAGCCGCGGCGCGCGCGCACCGCCTTCACCTACGAGCAGCTGGTGGCCTTGGAGAACAAGTTCCGGACCACGCGCTACCTGTCCGTGTGCGAGCGCCTGAACCTGGCGCTGTCGCTCAGCCTCACGGAGACGCAGGTCAAAATCTGGTTCCAGAACCGCAGGACCAAGTGGAAGAAGCAGAACCCGGGCGCCGACGGCGCGGCGCAGGCGGGGGGCGGCGCGCCCCAGCCCGGGACGCCCATGGCTGCAGCTGGGGCCTGCGGCGGCGGGGGCGGCGGCACGGGGGGCAGCCCCGGCCCGCCGGGCCCTGGCGCTCTGTCCTTCCAGACTTTCCCCTCCTACTCGGCGGCCAACGTGCTCTTCCCGGCCGCCGCCTCCTTCCCGCTGACGGCCGCCTCTGCCGGGAGCCCCTTCGCGCCCTTCCTCGGGCCCTCCTACTTGACCCCCTTCTACGCCCCGCACCTATGAGCCGCAGCCCTCCGGCCCCAACTTGGTCGGGACTCACAAGGGCCTGGCATGGTCGTGTGTCCCCCCTCCACGGAGCGGCGCCGGCGCGCAGGGACCGCCCCCTCCCGGTGCGCGGGTGTCAGCGCGCCCGGCCTTCCAGCTGCCGGGAGGCGCCGCCAGAGGGCGAGGAGAAGCCGGCTGCGGACTCCGGGCTCGCCCCTCTGCGCCCGCGCACCCCCTCAGTCCACGCGGGCCACCAAGGGGTCAGGGACCTGCCGTCTTTGAAAGTGTCCGGAGGTGGAGGCTGTCCTCAAATCTTCCCGTGTCTGGACCTTGCTGTTCACTTTCGGTCAGGTTTAATTCAGTTCAAGGGCTCTTTTTTGAGGGTCTGGGTGTTCAGCGCGGGCCCAGCAAAGGTGCCAAGAGGGAAACTCCAGGGAGCTAGGACGCCCTGCCCGCCAGCTGTGCACGGCCAGGATGGCGTCCGCCAAGGCTCTAGCTCACTCAGGGCGAGGAGCTGTCCTCTTTCCTAGCGGATTGCACCCCGCTTCACACTTGTTTATTGGCCCAAACCCAGGGTTCCTTCCAAATCCTGATTGAAGCTAGGAGAACTTGGTCCACGCACACAATGCCGATGTGAAATGGACTATTTTTAAAATGCATCAAACTCAACATTTCTAGATCGTCATTTAAGATTTGGTCTGGAGCACGGTACTTATTCCAAACAGACTCTCTGCAGGTAATTCCTGAGAGAGTGGGTACCTTATTTTTCTGAGTAGGACAGAAGTTTGAGCGAGGAAAGGCAACTGGGCTTTGTAGCTGACTTGCCTGCTAGCGCAGACTCAGGTCGGTTGCACTGCAGGCTTTGAGAATGGCTTGGGCCAAAACCACACAGTGGCCCCAAATGCTTGGAAATGATGACGAAGGGAGCCACAGCTCAGCTGACATCATGGGATCTATGCAGGAGGCTACCTGTTTTGATGTGAGATATTTGATATTTTAAAACTTCAGGCCTGGCCAATCAATCTATCTGTCCCAGTGACTCCTGGATTCCCAAACAGTGAGCCATTCTGGGAGAGAGCTAGCCCCACCAGCACACACTACATGTGGACAGTTGGACTATTTTTTTTTAAAAGCACAAACTCAGCATTTTTAGATCTTCATCTAGGATTCTGACTCGAAAGCAATTCTTGTTCCAAACAGACTTTCCATGATGGTGAACAAGCAAAAGGTTGTTCTGTGAAAGCAATACTTGTTGGGTGTAAGGAGTGGAAGCCAAACCCATGTTCATAATGATTCAACTGCAGAACTTAATACAGGAATATACATTCTAACTGCTACTTTTATTATCTCCCTTAAAAAAATTAGTTCTATAAAATTCCCTTGCCAGTTTTGTTTGGAATACTCTTCCTTTAGTTTTCTGTGTTATATGATCTTGTAGCCTATGTCTCAGAAACCCAGAGGTCCCCAACAATGGCATGCATTTTTCATTCTCACTTTCTTTTGGTTACTTGAGGCCAACTGAGATCTATATGAATACCATATTCCTTACTATTTCTTGATAGCCTATGCCACTAACAATTAAATTTAATGATCAATGGCTTCAAAGTAAAAGCACATTGTTTGGTATTAGAAACACATTATGTTATTATAAGCTTGAAACATCTAGTTCTATTATCAGGAATGATAGAAAATATCCCCCCTTTCTCCTAAATTAAATGAAGACTTCATGTGACTCATAAGATTTGAGGCCGGGCGTGGTGGCTCACGCCTGTAATCCTAACACTCTGGGAGGCCTAGGCGGGCGGATTGCTCAAGGTCAGGAGTTTGAAACCAGCCTGAGTAAGAGCAAGACCCCATCTCTACTATAAATACAAAGAAATTAATTGGCCAACTAATACATATAGAAAAAATTAGCATGGTGGCACATGCCTGTAGTCCCAGCCACTTGGGAGGCTGAGGCAGGAGGATTGCTTGAGCCCAGGAGTCTGAGGTTGCTGTGAGCTAGGCTGATGCCATGGCACTCACTCTAGCCTGGGCAACAAAAGTGAGACTCTGTCTCAAAAAAAAAAAAAAAAAGATTTGAGAGTATGTATTATTTGCTAATTAGACTCTTTCCCTTCTATTCTAAAGAAGAAAAATGTCCTCAACATATAACTTTCTAAAAGACGGAGCCAGATGAGATTAAAAATGCAGTTTCTGTAATAGAGAATATTATTTTGTTCACTTTACATGTTGGTAAACACTCCTTAAATATCTGCTTGTTGATTTCTCAAAAGCAATATTCTGTGTGTATAAACAGACAATTCACGTGCACAGGGGCGAGCTCTGTAACAAAGCAGCTGCATTTCTGTAATAAGTGAAAAACATTCATTCCAGTCCTCTCAGGTAGCAGAATCAAGGACTTCAGTCAAAAAGAGGGAACAGGGAGGGAGGTGGGGGGCTCATCTGTGGACTGGCCGGGTGCTGTAATTCCTGATCCTCTTGTTTCCACAAGCTGTCACGGAGTAACGCTGGAGGCATGTGACTTTGAACTGCTGCTGCTGTAAAAGGCCCGGTGGCTCTCCAACCAAATCTTTAGACCGAATCATTGGTGTGTTTGTCTAATAAATTCTTTTTGTAATAAATTCTCCTTGATTTCTTGTTTAAATTACTCCTTGTTTTCTATTAGTAAAGCTTTTAAATAATCTTATCAGGCCAGGCTCGGTGGCTCAGGCCTGTAATCCTTGCACTCTGGGAGGCCGAGATGGGCGGATCGCTCAAGGGCAGGAGTTTGAAACCAGCCTGAGCAAGAGTGAGACCCCGTCTCTACTAAAGATAGAAAGAAATTAATTGACCAACTAAAAATATATATACAAAAAAAATAAAATTAGCCGGGCATGGTGGCACATGCCTGTAGTCCCAGCTACTTGGGAGGCTGAGGCAGCAGGATCGCTTGAGCCCAGGAGATTGAGATTGCTGTGAGCTAGGATGCCATGGCACTCACTCTAGCCTGGGCAACAAAGTGAGACTCTGTCTCCAAAATAATAATAATAATAATGATCTTATCAGTGTCAGAGGATGTGTCTATGTCTCCCTCACTCCAGCTGTTACTCCCAAATAGAGAATATTTCTACCCTAACACTCCTTTTTGAAGCCATGCTTTTCAAACCCATGCTAGATATGCCCAGAGTGGCTACATTTTCGGGCAGTACATACAGACACACATGTAGGGCCATTTTCATAGCAAAAGAAAAGCATCTTCACAGAATCTTAATTAGCAGCTACTAATTTTTTTTTTTTGAGACAGAGTCTCACTTTGTTGCCCAGACTACAGTGAGTGCCGTGGCGTCAGCCTAGCTCACAGCAACCTCAAACTCCTGGGCTCAAGCAATCCTTCTGCCTCAGCCTCCCGAGTAGCTGGGACTACAGGCATGCGCCACCATGCCCGGCTAATTTTTTCTATATATATTAGTTGGCCAATTAATTTCTTTCTATTTATAGTAGAGACGGGGTCTCGCTCTTGCTCAGGCTGGTCTCGAACTCCTGAACTCAAACGATCATCGGCTACTAATTAAATCAACACCTACCTGTCAGAGTTCAGGGACTTGAACTTCTTCCTAGCCTTACTTTACCAGTTCTTAATATCCCCAAAGGAGTCTGGTAGATAACCTTTCAGACTTGCGCCACCCACTGGTCATAGATTCCTGATGTCAAAAGTGACCCATTCAGATCCCTAATTGAAACCATGTAACCAGGGAGCCTTATTTAAGGGAGCCGAGAGCATTTCTTGCCCCAGTCCATGTTATGGGCACAAATTAATTTAGCGTGTTTGTCTTTTTAGAAATAACTCTTATGACGTGACGTGAAGTTATGAATAGGGTGACAAAAGAAATTCTTCAATAAATGCTAAATACATTTAGTGGGAGAGATTCTGTCATAGAGGGGAGTCAGTTTAAGGGAAGCATCTAATACTCTAAGGGGATTCAGAGAAAGAGTAACAGGAAGAGAAACAAAGGGCTCCAGAACCCAAGGAAAACTCAGAAGGTGACAGGTGGGGCCTTGTGGAGTCTGGGGGGTACCTGTGGCTGCGGCTGGCTAGGGCCACAGGTGAGGCAGGATTGTACGGTGCTCGAAATGTGCCTGGCTGTGTTCAAAGCCACTTCCACGTGTCGGTGGATGGCTGACCTTGGCAAGTTACCGGTGTCCTTGTGTCTGTTTCTTTACCGTAACGCCTACCTCAGAGCACGATGGGGAAGACCGTTCTGTGGGAAGCACTTAGATTCATGCCTGGCACAGTGATGGTAGCTCAGGGGTCCTCAAACTTTTAAAACAGGGGGCCAGTTCGCTGTCCCTCAGACCGTTGGAGGGCCGGACTATCGTTTAAAAAAAACTATGAACAAATTCCTGTGCACACTGCACGCATCTTATTTTGAAGTAAAAAAACAAACGGGCAAAAACACCCGCATGTGGCCACATGAGGGCCGTAGTTTGAGGACGCCTGTTAGCTGTTACTCCAGTCGAAGCTGGAAAAGATGTTGAAGATGCTGTACCTAACCCAACCACTTTGTTGAAAACAATTTTTTTTTTTGTAGCATAATAAACACTCAGAAAACTGACTATAGCAGCTTGGTGCATTTTTCACAAATGGGGACATGCCTGTATAACCAGCACTCAGTTCAAAAAACAATATCACACCTTAAAATCTGTACCCCCATAATATGCCAAAAAAAAAAAGAAAGAAACAATATCACCAGCACCCCAGAACCCCCTGTGTCCCTCCTAGTAATCAGCTTCCCCAAGGAGGACCACTGTCCTGATTTCTAACAGTATGGATAGTTGTGTCTGCTTTTTTAAGTATAAAAACTCAATCATAGGCTGGGCGCGGTGGCTCACGCCTGTAATCCTAGCACTCTGGGAGCCCAAGGCGGGCGGATTGCTCGAGGTCAGGAGTTCGAAACCAGCTTGAGCAAGAGCAAGACCCCGTCTCTACCATAAATAGAAAGAAATTAATTGGCCAACTAATATATATAGAAAAAATTAGCTGGGCATGGTGGCACATGCCTGTAGTCCCAGC